CATTGATTTCCATTAGAAAACAGTCTTAATGAATGAGGATTACTATTCCTCAATACGTTCCCGCACTCATAAGATTCTGATGAGATACTAATTGGTCCCCGCGTTACGAGCCTGTTAAAAATCTCCTGGGCCATCCTGCACTGTGCTCTGTACACTTGGTCTAACAGCTCCCTCCAAAGGCAAAAGCTGCCACGAGTCAAGGCTTCTCTGGTCCTCCTTGGGAAAGCTGCTTTCCTGACAGGCCAGGGCTGCTGTTGGCATGGCCATGGGATTAGACATGGGTCAGAGCCAGGGTCACTGGACAAAGATCAAATGTCAGCACTTGGGGCCAGGGCAGGGCCCGTGACACACAAACGATGTTGTTTTCCTAAATGGCTCGTCTTCCAGTCCCAGCCTAATTCCACGCAGAAGAAGCATTCAAGGGGCATTCAAGGAATGCTTCAGGAAGCATTCAAGGGTTTGGAGGCTGGGGTCTGGACTGGTGAGGGAGGCTACCATCTTGGTCCTCCAGGAGCTGCTGTCACCTGCTGCAGGGGAGGTGGCGCACACCAGTCACAGTTCAGAGTCACCAGACAAAAGGCCCAGGTGCAAGCTCAGTGGCATGTGGTGGAGGTGCTTCGTGTCTTACACATCTTCTCCATCCCTCCTGCACCAAGGAAGGAAGTGCTACTTTTAAAAAGTGAGATGAAATGTATATAATATACAATTAACCATTTTAAAGGGAGTGATTGGGTGGCATTTAGTACATGACCGTGTTCTACACCCACCACCTGCATCTAGTTCTAGAACATTTTCATCACCCCAAATAAAACCCTGGACTCATTGAAGAGTTTTTTCCCATTTCTCCTCCTGGCCTGGCAATGACCAATCTGCCTTCTGCTTCTATGTTCTGGACATTTCATAGGAATGGAACGATACCATGCGCGTCCTTCCACATCTGGCTTCTTAGCATGTTTTCGAGGTTCAGCTGTGCTGCTGCACGTGTCAGAACTCCACTCCTGTTTATGGCTGAATCCTATTCCACTGTGTGCACACACCACAACCTGTTTATCTGTTCATCTGCTGAAGGACACCTGGGCTGTTTCCACCCTGGGAGGGGCTGTTTTATTGTTATTTCGCAGATAAGAAAATTCAGAGTTGGACTTTCTCTCAAGGTCACCCAGCTGGTCAGGGGCACAACTGAGTATCAACTTGGTCTTTGAAGTCTGCACTCTCTCCTCCCCACAGAGGTGAACAGCTTGTCCTGGGTTAAGAGCGGGAGGCGTTCTTGTTCTCTGGAACTCCTGTCCTGCGACTCTTTGAGGAAAGGGTTTTTTTGGTTTGTGCTTTGGACACCATTGTTCTGGAAGAAAATGAGAATCCTCCGAGAAGGTTAATCTCGAATTCAACAGAAATGACCTCACCATGACACCACTACTTCTTTCAAAAAATCATTCCTATCGAGGTGTAAGTTGTATGCGGTAACATTCACCAACCTTAAGTGTACAGTTTGATGAATTTTGACACGTGGATGTAGTACAACCATCTCCATAATTAGATGGAAAATATTCCCATCACTCTACAAAGTAATATAGTTTGGGTTTGTACCTTCCAAATCTCATGTTGAAATGTGATTCCCAGTGTTGGAGGCTGGCCTGGTGGGAGGTGTCCGGGTCACCGGGGTGGATCCCTCATAAATGGCTTGGTGCTGCCCTTGTGGGAATGAGTGAGTTTTTGCTCTATGAATTCACATGAGAGCTGGCTATTTAAAAAGAGCCTGGCATCTCTCTTGCTCCCCCTGTCTCTCACTGTGGGACACACTTGCTCCCTCTTCACCTTCCACCATAAATGGAAGCTTCCCGGGGCCCTCACCAGAAGCAGATGCCAGAATTACGCTTCTTGTAAAGTCTGCAGATCCATGAGCCAAGTCAACTTATGTTCTTTATAACTTACCCAGTTTCAGATACTCCTTTATAGCAATGAAAAATGGACTAGCACACTCCTTTACAGCCTCCGCTCCAAGCCTGAGCTTCTATTTGGCACAATGCTCTACAATTCACTCGTGGTATGGCCAGCAGTAGTTTATTCCTTTATTGCTGAATGGTATTCGCTTATTTGGATACGCCACAATTTGTTTATCTTTTCCCCAGTCGATGGACATTTGGTTTACTTCCCATTTTTGGCTATGATGAATAAAGGTTCTCTAAACATTGGTGTATAGCTTTTGTCTGGACTCAAGTGGAATTGCTGAGTCCTATGATAAGTGTGTCATCATATTCCTGCTCAGAGAGGTGGCTTCTTCGCACACTAGTTTCCTCTTCAGGATCCAAATGGGTCCCAGGGACCCTAAAACAAGGCCCCTGGGTCTGTCCTTCCTGGGAAGGGAGACTGTTATATTCAGTGGAAAAAAGGAGATGGTCAAAGTATGATTCAGGAATTTCATAGTGTACTGCCATACCAAAAAATCTCTTCTTAGGTTCACGATGCTCAAAAAATAACAAGAAGAGGGCCGGGTGCGGTGGCTTACACCTGTAATCCCAGCACTTTGGGAGGCTGAGGCGGGTGGATCACGAGGTCAAGAGATCAAGACCATCCTGGTCAACATGGTGAAACCCCGTCTCTACTAAAAATGCAAAAAATTAGCTGGGCATGGTGGTGCTTGCCTGTAATCCCAGCTACTCAGGAGGCTGAGGCAGGAGAATTGCCTGAACCCAGGAGGCGGAGGTTGTGGTGAGCCGAGATCGCGCCACTGCACTCTAGCCTGGGTAACAAGAGCGAAACTCCGTCTCAAAAAAATAAATAAATAAATAACAAGAAAAAAGCTCATAGGGAGTCTGCTCGATAGATGAAGTACATGAACTACTTAGTGAGTGGGTTCCAAAATTATTACACTCTGGTTGCTCAGTTAGGTCAGGATGGAAGCAGGCCTCTCTGGGGAAAGTGAGGTGTAAGTAAAGATTTGGGTATAGCTTCCTGTGGTCCGGTCTCGGAGAAGCTGGCCCAACCACCAGGGCAGAGATATGGAGGTCTGGTATAAGGCCCCTCAACACTAAGGGGAGCCAGTGATTAGTCCCGAGGCTAACAGGGTGTTGTCTGGTTGCACCTGAGCTCTTGGTGTTGGAGGAGCAGCTGTGATGGTAGACACACTGGGGGTCTTTAGAAGCGGCTGACAGAGTGCAGCCTGCCATGGCCTAAGCTCACCAAATGCTCATTAAACTCTTGGCTTTATATATATTCTGAGGTCCAGTAGTTGAGGTCTGTAACTCACAAATGGGAATTCTGGTGAGGTTTGACATCACATTCCTCATCAGAGGAATGGAAGCAGGTGAGTTGATTCCAAGTTCTCACACAGAAGAGGGTCCGATGAGACGTCTACTCTCAAAAGGAGTGTGGAATACACAGTAAAACATATATCAATCATGTAGCAAACGTAAGTGCTTGAGATCATGTCAAAGTGTCATCACTGGAAGGCCTGTGCTTTGGTTTGAGGTCTACCTGTCCTTGCCTGGAGGAATCCCGTGGTGTTCAGAGGTTGGTCATTAGGCCCTCCTAATGACACAGGCAGTTGGGAACTGAGGATAAAGCTAGCATTTAAAAACCTCTCATTTTGATATTCCAAGCTGATGACCTAGAGCAATGGTCCTTGGTTTGCAATGGCTCTTTTCAAGAGCTTTCATCAAAGGGCTTCCTCCCAGGTGCCCCTGGGTCCCTGATGGTGGAAAATGGCCCTTCTTCTTTTTTCTTAGATAAAGCGGGACTCTTGCTACATTAAAATTTCTGGGTGCTGAGGTGAGGAGGTGAGGCCCCTTCTCACTGCTTAGCTGGAAGGCAGTTAAGTTCTTCCTGGTCAATAGGCCTCTATCTACCTACTGTTAGAATTTTACTAGGCTGGGGAATTGTGAGATCTGTAGCTTCTTTGGAATGGAAAAGGGAAATGAGTTAGGGAAATGTCCAGGCAAATGTCTGTGTGTTTGGAAACAGAGCTATTCTCTTCCAGCTCTTTTCTAGTGGGGTCATTTGCATGCCCATCTGATAGCAGGGGCACAGCCAGGCCCAGCAGATATAACCCATCTGGACTTTTGAATGAAAAATAAACATTGGGTTCTTTTAGTTTCTGAAAATCATTTGCATAAAATCTTGCAGGATTTTCAAGGCGTTGGCAATGGGCTGGAGAGTGGGAGGTGGAGAAGAGGAAGTATGTGTGATTGGGGACAGCAGAACAAAGCGGTTCAGGTTAACCCTTATTGCTTCCCTGTACATTTGCAAAGATATGAAGTCCAGAGAAGTCAGGGTGGGGGCCCCGATCCTTGCTCTGGTTCCATGTCTAATTTCCCACGTGACGCCTTTGGACCTCAGTTTCCTCTTCTATGAAATGAGTGAATGAGCCTGATCTCTGAGGTTTTTCATTCATTCAAGCTATTGACATTTCTTGAGCACATATGATGTGTCAGGCACTCTGCTAGGACAGTAAAATACAACAGCACAGATAAAGACCTTGCTTTCAAAGAGCTCCCAGCCCAGTGGGGAGTCAGATGGGCCAGCAGACACCCAGCCTGTACTGTCACAGTGTGGTGCTCAAGAGGAGAGAGAGGCCTCGTGTTGGGAGAGAGGAATGACCCAGGATGGGTGGCATAGGGTAAAGAAAGGTTTTCAGGGGTAAGCAATACTACAATACTACTTGCCAGTTCTGACTCTGAAGTCTCAGACTTTCCTGCATGTCCTTCCTCTCTGGGAGTTCTTGGTTGGAGATATCTGGGGGATTATATCCAGATGACAGCCAATATGTCTCTGATATTGCCAGACCCCTTTTCCAGGTGCAAGTAAAAAGTTCTAAGTGACATCTGCATCTGAATTAGGGCTGCCTTCTCCTCCCTGCTGTCCTCTCTCCTGCGTTCTCCATTAGATCTTCCAGAACAGAAACATGGAGTTCAGCCGGCAGTATAACTGATTTCACCCCAGCCTCAACCTTGGTGTCTGTGGGGCTGTGTCTCCGCTCAGGCCCAGCCTCTGGGTTTAAGATTTCAAAGTGAAATGCTGATGATGTTGTAAGTGCATAAAAAGAAAAAGAGGTTGCAATTCTGGCAGAAAATACCGTAAGTTCATTCAAAACATCCTGGGCAAGGGTTAAAGTCTAAAAGTAAAGACAGTAATTGTATATTTTGAAAAAACTACTAGCTAAGGCCCTCCCAGCCAAGAGAGGCAGTACCATCAGCAGAAAGAGCTCTGAATGGGATCGGGAAACTTGAATTCTGACCCTAGCTTTGTCTCTCACCAGGAAAGGCCTCCAGAACTGAGTTTTCCCATTTGTAAAATTCGCGGGTTGGAACAGGCAGGCTGCAGGTGTCTTTGGTGCACGAATCTGGGACTTGGTCAGTGGACGGGAGAATGTTGTCTTTCCTGCCGCTGCTGGGGAAAACTTAATTCCCAGAATCCAGGGGAATGGGCTCTGGCCCAGCCAGCACCAGTCAGACGACAGAATAAACCAGTGAAAGGAGCAGCTCTTTCCCGCAGATGAATCGGTTTTTGTCCTTTTTGAAGGATCATGTTACGCAGAGTTTCTCAAAGAAGAGCTGTTTTGGTGGGTGTTTCCCCAAATGTTTGTGAGTGCATCGTCTGCCTATGGTCATGCCCTTTAAAGAATGTTCTCTACCCCCAGATCCTTAGCAAGATGGCTTTATTGAAGAAACACACGCTTTATCAGCCCCAAACCACTGAGACCGCCCTGCTCTGGTCCTCTTTGCCTTTAAGAATTCTTACTGTGACTGACTGCACTCTTCGGGCACAATTAATTAAATCAATGGCCCTCTCATAAATTTAAAAATACATCTCCCATGTCTTTAAATCTCTGAATCCCAGCTGGGAAACTGAGAGGCGTGAAATACACAGTCATCACGTCACAGCCACGGAGACTGCGTCCCGGAGCTGTAATTCCATGATAAATGTCTCCCAGGCACACGACCACAGTTTGGTTATGCCCTAGAGGTGACGGGGAGGCCAGGAAGGAGAAGGGGTGGCTGGTTATTGGGCTGCCCTGCCGTGTGCCTTGGGGACTGGTGTAGAGCCGAGGCTCAGACAACAATGTAAGGCAGGGGCCGGGCTCTCCAGAAAGTTCATAATAAGTTGTCTTCATTCTGTGGGTTCAGAAAGAGATCCGGGGAATTCCACTAAGATTGCTGGAAAGCAACACAGGGGCTTGTGTTCTGCCGACTCCGAGTGAGAAGAAGCTGAAAGGAACCACCAGTGACTTCATGGCTCCTCCTGTCAGAAGTGAGGGCCCTGGACTGGCAAACACACTCTCCAAACACGGCTTTCCTGAGGATCTATGAAGCACCAGGCACTGGTCTGGGCATGAGGGATGCATCAGGGACAAATGGGCCAGTCCCAGCTAAGGTGGTTGGCAGCCTGGAAGGGGCTTCAGGACGGGGTGACCACAGGACAGGTGCTGCTGGAAGGCATTCACAGAGACCCTCCAGGAGAGGGGACTTCAAGCAGATGCTGGAAGAACGGAAGGTTGCTGGGACTTTCCCAGGTAAAAGGATGAAAGGTGATGTCAGAAGAAGGAAAAGTGTTCCATGCAGTGGGGAGAGAAGTGGGAGAGTGCGGCACAGACTTGGAGGAACCAGCGTGATTGGGAGAGGATGGGGAGAAGGGCGGGAACTGGCCAGCTGCGGTCTGGGCCTGGCACTGAGCTCTGGACAGCCTAGATGCTGCCATCTTGGTAAGCTTAGACAGTGGGAGGGAGGAGTGGCTCAAGGGTGTAGGGTGGGGCTCCAGGCTGGGAGCACCTGCCCTTGGTTCATTTTGGGAATTCACTTTATGACTCAATTTGAAACAGTGTTGAGGTTCAAGCTTTTCTGTTCCCTTTGGTTTCAGTAGATTCTATTCATTTTTATGACATTTCTTATTTATTTATTTATTTTTGGTTGCTATTGCTCCCAGGTCACTGAGAATTGTATTTCACAAAACACTGTTTTCTGAACTCCTTGACTTTTCACCATCACAGGTTGTTTTGTTTAGGACAAATGAGGGAATGCCCCATGTCATACATGCTGATAAAACTGCAGGGGTCCTGATCTCCTGGTCTCCCAGTGCTGCCAGGCACTCCCGGGAGGGAAGACCCTAGTGTGTGAGCAGCAGCTTCAGGATGCACCGTGGGGTGGAGTGGAAATGTACAAATGCTGATCTCTCTCTCCCAGTATCAATAAGCATCTCACATGCTCCAGTTTGAATGCAGCACCTCACTCACTCTCACCGAAACCTGGAAGGGGAGCGCTGTTTTCCCGTCTTGCTGACTTCAGATAGGGCTCTGAGAGATCCCACAACCACCCAAAGCAAGAAAGTGGGACAACACTTGAGCCCAGGGATGAAACACTTGAGCCCAGGGACAGTGCTCCCTCTGCCAACCACGACGCCAACACGGTGGGTAGGGAGAGTCACTGTGTAGCTCCAGCACCCATCACTCAGACTCCCCCTTTTGATGGAACTGGTGAAACCTGGGCTCCTGCAGAGAAGCAAACATGGCCCTTGTATGTCCTGTGGGCCTTAAAAATGCCCACATGCTCATGCCATGCTGAAGGCTGGGCGCACAGAGGTGCAGTCAGAGTGGGGGTGGGGAGCTCATTCTTTTTGCAGGTTCATGTGAGTGCACCAATATCTCCAGACCCACCTGGCAAAAATGATTGGCCAAAAATGGTTAATTTTGAAATTATTTCACCAGTGGAATTTTAAGATGATTTAAAAACAAAGGCATATCTATATGATGGGTAGGTAAATAGACAGTAGGTATAGATGTAAAATACTTGCTGGGCTGTCAAGAGAAGAGACGGGGCCTTATTACTGCTCCCCTGACCCTTCCTCACTTTTCCCTTCCCTTTCCTTCTTCCGTCTACCCTGGCCCCTGGGTCTGCATGAGCACCATATGAAAATATTCTTGAATCTACATCTATTTTCAGCTTATGCTTGGTTCTTAGCATTAAGAACCTGGCACCTCATTACACACTGTATGAAGCAGAACCGTCTTTCATTTTTGAAACTGTCTCCTTCAAGCTCCAAAAAGTACTTTCTAGTGTTTGCAGGAAGCCACGTGATTTCTTGGGAAAAGCGCAGGTTCTGGAGTCTGAGGCGTCTGGGTTTAATCCCAGCTGCGTGGTGCTAAGTATTGACTATCTTTCCTTTGAGTGTCAATTCTTTCCTAGGTAAATATCCACCATGCAGATTTGTGCTTACTGAATTAGACATTGCATGTGGTGTTTTTCTTCTCCTGGGGTCCTGGGTTTTAAAGTCCTGGTTCACTTGTGCATATTCTTTATGACTCTTGGATACCACATCCTCTCTGCTGGACCGCATCATGACTCTTCCCACTTTATAACCTGGACTGTCTGGAGACAGAAGGAATGCCCTTTGCTTATTCTGGACTGTTCTGATTATTTAAAGCTGGTGCTTAAAGCAACCCCCTTAATTTTTATTTCTTAAAGCTAATTCTGACGCTCACCTTTCATTGAAGTGAGTAGTGACTCCACCCCAACATGGTGCCTTTAGACCTTGCTTACATGGGGTCTCCAGTGGGCGGGTGGTAAGCAGAGGCCCCTAGGCCTCAGAGCCCCCTCTTCTGGGGCTTCTGCTCTAGGCATTGCTCTGTGACATCATCAATCACCCTCTACCCCAGCCCCCACCCCAGCCCCCTCGCTTCTTTCTGCAGGTTACACCACCCCCAACCTGGACCCTATCCAATAGGCTCGTGGTCCCTGATGGTCCTGGACCACTGATTTGAGGCCTTTCTGCTTCCTTTGATTCAGTCTTTGGCAGAGCCCCAGCAGCAGGAGTCCTTGATGGCACCTGGCCCTTTCTAGTCACCGACAAGGGAAACCTGAGAAACCATTCTCAGAAATGGAACTAAATTGTGAGTGAATCTGTCCCCATCTGGAGAAGAGAGGAAGATTTGGGGCAGCAACAAAGGCTCCTTTGATTTCCGTTAATTAACTACTTTGGACTCTGGGGTCTGGAGTGGCTTTCGTTTGACACACAAAGAATCCGGGGCAAGGATGATACCCACGCACAGGGTGTCTGCACTGGAAAGGGCTCCGTGTATTTACCTGTAGGGCAATTCAATTAAAACTCAAGAAAGGGGTAAATCTATGAGATTAGTTCCAGGAACAATGGCGCCAATTGTGGCTGGCTCTCACAATCCTTACGAAAGCAGATGTTAAACAAATATTTTGATGGCTCCAATCAGCCCCAGTGTGAATCTCCTGTTTTTGTTTTTCATTATCTGTGGAGATGGGAATTCTGCAGTCTTCATCAGTAGCCCTCTTTGGTGACCTATTTAAAATTGGTGATCTATTTAAAAGACTCCATAGAGAGAAGTTGATTGTAAATATGATGGAGGGGCGCTATTCATTAATATAGAACATTCTGGGTTTGCCCACTCCACTGTTGCTCCTCCCCATTCTCGGAAGCACCCTCCATTACTGGAGAGGTTTCTTGGACGTTTGTGGCAGGCTAAGGAGGAAGAGGAGAGGTAGAGGGGGAAAGGTGTATAGGCTGGGGGCTCGAGGGTAATATTGCTGGGAGGACCCTCAAAGGAAGCCACTGGAGTCTTCTAGATGTTTGGAAGAGAGGCGTAGTTGAGCAGCTGCAGTGTGTGAGAAACGACGACAGGAAGGAAAAGGAATTTAAGAAGTGTTGTTTTGGGCCCCATATTCCCTTCATGAATGTATGTATGCATGTATGTAGGAATGACTGTCGGAAGAAATGTACGCAGAGAAGTTGAAATGCTGTAATAAAATTTTGGTCGCCAGACCACACTCATTTGACCATGATGCCATTCAGAGACTGAACCACTTGGGACCCAGCTTCACTAGGGTGACACGTACCTACCTACAGACTGATTTGGCGATTTTTCCGTTAAATTGTTGTTTTGTTTTTAATGAAGGAAAAATATTTATAATATCCCAATGTTTAAAACTTGGGATATTATAATGATACTGATATAGAAATAGATAAAATGGAGAGAACTTCATAAAACTTTAGAATTTGAGCAGCATCCAAACTTGCCTTCGAAATGGGATCATCACCTCTCCTCTTCCTGCCTTTCCTTTCCCCACCTGGCACGGATGCCAGGTTCTTCGAGGTAGAAGGCACACCTGTGCTGCTCATGTGGGAGCCCCAGGGCCATTGATTGGCATGGAGTAGGCCTTCAGTGTGTATTTGTTTAGTGATAAAAGGAAGGAATCAAAGAAATGTCAGTTTCCCAATGGCTGCAATTCTAGGACCGCTTAAAAGAAGATGAAGCCCATCTTGTTTCCACATGAGGATCTCTGAAAGCAAGTTTTTGAGCAGCTCAGATCTGAAGTCCTGTCCTGTGGACCAGATGCTGTGAGGACTTCCTTGCTGTGGCTCTTGACTCTATTTTTACAAAGCAATCAGGTTGCATTTATAATATTGGTCAAACTGAGGCAAGTAATAAAATTCAAGTGGTAGGCATGGAATCATTTCATTTGAGCATTTGTAGTTCCACATTTTTCAAATGGCCATGTGGCTATATATAGGCACAATGAAAGAATTATGACCTTTGGCTAACTTTACTGAGTAAGGCAATAAAGTATAGTTGAAGTATATAGTGCCTTTTGATTTTGTTGGGGAGGGAATGTCATTATAGGGTGAATTATTCTATTTCATTGAAATAGACTAGAGTCATAGCATTCTACAGAGAAGGAAAACTCCCGGGCTTAGCCCATGAACCTTGGAAGGGGAAGGGCAGGCAGTCCAGGGAGAGAGTTGTTCATGCACTTAGGGGTCCCTGAGAAAAGGAATTTTATGTCTGCTTAGCTGGGTCACTTTGCTTCTCTGAGCCTCAAACTTCTCTGTAAACATGGAGAATTAAGTTACCTGACTTAAGTTACCATGACTTCTTTATGTCATGATTGTGTGGATCGTTAAGAAGAAGTACCTTACAGTATTTTGTAGACTCTGAAGTACGATGCAAATCTTTCTCCTATTCTGTTAGCTTAAAGCAACTCTACCTCGGAGGCCTAGAATGTGCAACATATATGGCTGCATGAAAAGATAAATCTTAATATTTATTTTAAGGGTCAATAATACAGAATTTGTTAGCTACATAATCATTATTTACCTACAATTGCAGATGACTTTATGAGGATAATGACTCTTGGGTAATTGCTTTGTCATAGCAAGATATCCACACACTTACAGCCAACCATGTGAATTACAGCTTTTGAGTCTCACAATTGCAGAGCAGCGTGAAGGCTACCAGAGAGGTTGAGATATAATTGCTAATTGCCAAACAGTGCACTGAGACTTTGTTTATTTTCATCATGCCAGTTTAACGGCAGGATGAAAAGTGAGTAGTGTAATTTGGCATGCTTTGCATATGTCTAAGTGAAGACAGCCCCAGACTTCTCTGAGTTGGTGTTTCAATAGAACATTTCCCAACTCGAGATGCAAACACATAAAATGGGAGACATGATGGCAGATGGAATGGCCTGGACGTTTCCTCTTGAATTAGTGCCTGCTTCATCTAAGGTCCTCAGAGAAGGGTCAGCATGGAGGTCACAACCCTAATGAAGAGTGTTGGGATCAATACGGGCAGGGATCGTGGACTCACATTCAAGCCGATACGTATCGATTCAACTCCTTGTGAAGAAAAAGCCAGCCCTGGAGTGGGGCTGACACTGGAACTTGTTTCCACCACTTATGAATTGTGTGACCCAGGCCCTGTTACTTCCCTCTGATCTTTGGTTTCCCCATCAGTAGAATGGGAAAGATATTAACAGAAGCTCCTTTGGAGGCTGTAGTGAGCTGGAAGTGAGCTAAATGAGATGATGCAGGCTAAGCGCTTGGAGCAGCACCTGGCACGCAGGCAGAAGGCTGGCCGCAGTGTCATTGGTGCCCATCTGGTGTGACCTGTGCTGACGCCTTCTTAGACTAATTCCTTAGGTCAGTGTTTCCTGGAAGCCCACCCATCTCACAGGAGTCCTCACATGTTTGATGTGCTGCTGACCTGTACTAACTCTATAGAGCTAATGCTCTATTAGCTTAAAATGATCCTGCCTTGGGGGCTGGAAGATCCTTCTCCTTCATGTTGCCAAATCCTTCATCTCCTGAGAACCTGTCATCTACTGCACGTGAGAGGACTTTGTATCTGAGCTTCCCTGATGCTCAAGGGATATTCCCAGAAACACTTTACTTTATATATATATATATTTTGTTGTTGTTGTTGCGTTTTAGGTTTGGGGGTACATGTGAAGAACATACAAGATTGTTGCATAGGTACATACATGGCAATATGGTTTGCTGCCTTCCTCCCCATCACCTATATCTGGCATTTCTCCCCATGTTATCCCTCCCCAACACCCCACCCCTCACTGTCCCTCCCCTAGTTCTCCCCCACAGACCTCAGTGTGTGATGTTCCCCTCCCTGTGTCCATGTGTTCTCATTGTTCAACACCCGCCTACGAGTGAGAACATGCGGTGTTTGATTTTCACGAATGACACTTAGCTCACAGGGTTTTTATGCAAATGTTCTCAGTTTTTGAGCCTGGCTCTGCCTGGGCTCCAGCCCTCCCTTGCTAGAAACTCTCTGTCCACGAGGACTTACTCTTGTACTCTTAAGTCACTGCCTTCTTCCTTCCATGGAAATCTCTTTTTACTTGCCAGGCTCCCCATGCATTCCAGCCTCCCATGGAGCTGTTTTTACCGTATCCAACCTGCAGATTCATGAGCCACTTCCAATCCACATGGGTGATTTCACAAGTATATTCACCAGCAACTCAGATTTGCACAAATAAGACCTTGCCCTGAGGCTGGGTGTGGTGGCTCATACCTGTAATTCCATCACTTTGAGAGGCCAAAGCAGGAGGATTGCTTGAGCGCAGGAATTCAAGACCAGTCCTGGCAACATAGCAAGATCCTGCCTCTACCAAAATAATAATAATTATTATTACTACTATTATTAGCTGGGCATAGTGGCATATGCCTGTAGTCCCAGCTACTTGAGAGGCTGAGGCAAGAGGACTGCTGGGGCTCAGGAGGTCAAGGCTGCAGTGAGCTGTGTTTGTACCACTGTCCCCCAGCCTGGGTGACAGAGAGACCTGTCTCAAAAAACAAAACAGGAAAACCAACGTTTCTCTGGATGCTCAGAACTTCACCTTCTCAGTCGCTGTTCTGTATTTCAACATCCCAGCCCAGCTAATACCTTTCTTTAGAGACCGCTGTCATGTCTGAACTCCCCTGCCCCAAAGCCTTCACACGTGTCTTCTCGGTAGCCAGACAGAAGTTCTTTCTGAGAACTTCCAACACTACCGCTTATGGCAAGGGCCTTCTAGATTCTTCCCTCAGGAACAGTCCTGGGAAAATCTCAAGGGAAATTGAGTTGCACAGTTGACATTTCCATTGCAATTCAGATTTCTAGTTCTTCTAAAACCATAGTCCCAAGAGGTTTTTAATCCATAGAAAATAACTTGGGAAGCAAAGCGGGGAAAAAGTGTTTTTGATGGAAGACAGGAACGAGCTGGTTCTAGGCGGAAGCACTTCTCGGGTAGCAGCCCTGTGTCAGGGGTCTGTTTGGTAAAGTATTCTCTGATCCATTTTTGTGACTGTCAGGAGATACCCCCTCACAATTCTGCCCATCACAGGCCTTGAAAACACAATCTGTGGGGACAAATGGAAGCGGGTGCATTCTGAATGTTTGTCTTTTTAGCATAAATGCGTGATGATTGGCCGCATTCAGTTCATCTTAGTGACTTTAAAGCCAAGGGTAGAAAAAATACACTATCAAAGCAAAAAAGGCCAACGGGCGTTGGTGCACAAATTTAATACTGGAAGAATGAGTAATTTTCTCTTTCTTCGTTTTTTTCCGATATGAAAAAAATAAAAGACTTT